ACTTAGGTTCGTCCTGAGAGGGTCCTAAGCCCAAGGATGTCGCAGGGCTGCCCGGGCAAGAGGGACGCGGAGGTGAGAGTGGCCTCCTCCTGACCAGTCAGGCCTCCACTCCCTGGTTCTTCTAGCTCCCAGACTCCGCCGTCATTTTGTCCAAAAGGTTTTCCTCTGAGGCCCGTCCAGGCACCGCCTGACTTCTTTTCATCTAGAAGGGCCCGGGTCGCCTGTCATCCCCAGTCGGGCCTGGCCGTTCTCGCCGCTGGTGGGCTCGGGCTGGCGACGCCGCTCCAGGAGCGCCCTGCGAGGCTGCCCCGCCAAGGGCAGGCTCCGGTCGCGGGGAGCTGTGGGCAGGCCCCGTGCAGAGAAGAACAATGGAAAATTGAGAGGGCCGGGAGAGCGGGTAGAGAAAAGTAAGAAGGGAAATAAGAGAGAAAAAACAGGAAACAAAATTAAAGAACTAGACGAGAGGGAAAGACAGAAAAGGAGGAGGGAAGGAAAAAGGAGAAAACGAAAGAAAGAAAAGTGAGAGGACGAAGAAGCAAACAAAAGGAAAACAGTGTAAGTGACAGAGAGGGAGAAAGGAACCAAGGGGAAAATAAAGGTAAACGGGGGTGGGGGGTGGGGAGAAAGTAAGAAGTAAAGACGAGAAGAAAGAAAGAAAACAAGACGGCCCCAAAGGCAAGATAATCAAAATTAAAGGAAAGAAAGGCAGAAAGAAAAACACAAATATAGAAAGAAAAGAAAGATTCCAAAAGACAAAAGACAGATGTGAGAACATACAGCCAGAAAGAAAAGGAACGGAAGAAAAGCCCAAAGAAAGGAGCGCACCGCATCAGGCCATTTTCCTGAAACCGAGAGAAGTAAGCGACCTCCTCAAGCAGTTCGGCCAGGCCCGCGCACTCTGGCAGGCCAGCTGAGCCCCAACCTTTCCAGGAAAAAAAGCGTTGCCGCTGCAAATAAATTCTCATTTTTCATCATGACCTCCCTGAAGGCCGCGGTCGTCGCGACCACGTACATTCTTCCAGGTGGGAGGACGACGGCACCGGGCGCTCGCTTTGCTTTACAAAAAATAAACCATAATTTAACAAATGCCCCAAGCGGGGCTGGTGGGCTTCTCTCGCCCCCTCCCCCTCGTCGGCGGTCCCGAGCCCGGGAGGGGCGGGAGCTGACAAGGAGGTGCCAAGTCCCCGTGGCCGGAACCCCCGGGGGCGAGGCGGCCGCGCTCAAAGGCCTGGCTGTAAAGGTCACAGGCGGTCTGCGGGGCCGCGCTGAATGGGCTCCCGGAGGTAAACAGACTCTTAACTTTCAACTTGGCCTTGACCTTCCTGGAGGTGTCTGGCCGGTATGTAAAGGAGCAGCTGAGGCTTTCAACGCGTTTGGCTGGGTCAGTAAAGGGGGTTGGGATTCGGGGGAGGCTCAGGGGTCCTGAGGGTCTGCCTGGAGGCTCCCAGCAGGACACAAAGGAGTCTGTGGGGCTGGGGGAAGGGCTGGCGCAGCCCAGGCCGGCGGGGAGGTCAGGACGCCTGGGTTGTCCTAAACTTCAGCCCTGAGCTCTTGTACAGCCCAGGGAGGATACGGAGGCACTGAGCCTCAGGTTCTCTATGTGGGAACCGCAGGCTTTACTCGAGGCTGAAAGAGGCAAGTGAGACGTGACCAATACTCTTTAGAGAAACTGCCCTTTTCTTTTCAAATAAAAACAGGTGCCTTGTGGTTCATTAGAAACAGATACACATACAGAAACAGAAATAGAGCTCATTTATTCAGTTTAGAAAATGTTTTCATGTGCAAAATCTCATTTAATCTTCACAGCTTTCCTGTGATGTAGAAATTACTGTGCCTTTGAGGAGATGGATAATTTTTACAGATAAGGAGGCAATCTTACCTTATCTGACTCCAGTTGAGGTCTATAATAGATCACAGATTGTTGCAAATACATAAACATGTACAGAAAATGGGAGCACATGCTCATATGTTAATAATATGATATCCAGAACTGTTCCCTGGTATCTACTAGATGCTAAATAAATTGGGGAGGAGGGCTTCCCCGGTGGCACAGTGGTTAAGAATCCGCCTGCCAATGCAGGGGTCACAGGTTCAAACCCTGGTCTGGGAAGATCCCACATGCCGAAGAACAACTAAGCCTTAGCGCCACAACTACTGAGTGGCCTGCACTCTACAGCCCACGCCACAACTACTGAGCCCACGTGCCTAGAGCCTGTGCTCCCCAACAAGAGAAGCCACCGCGATAAGACTGCGCGCTGCAATGAACAGTAGCCCCCTGCTCACTGCAACTAGAGGAAAGCCCGTGCGCAGCAACGAAGACCCAACGCAGCCAAAAATAAATAAATAAATTTATTTTAAAAAGTGCCTCAAAGATATTTAAAAAATAAATAAATTGTAGAGTAAAACAAAAACAGCACCCCCATAGTATTTACTTGTAGTGAAATGTATCTGTTTACATAGGGGTCTCCAGCACAGCTGGTGAGCTTCTCCAGGGCAAGGCTTGAGCTGGTCATCTCTGCATTCCACAATGATGCAGAGTTACATGCATTTAGCTGCTTATTTCCATGGACACAGATATGAACACTAATACCCAAAAAGCACAGTTGCAGGCAGTGTTGCTATGAATCTTTAACTTTTTGTATTCAATTATTTTTCCTTCTAAAAAATAGGCTGATGTAAAGTGAAGAAATAGCCAGTGTACGTCTTGAATTTTTTCACAGTGAACACACCCATGTAAGTGTCATATAGATTGAGATTGAGAACATTTCCAGCCCCCCAAAAGGCTTCCTTACATCACCTCCCTGTCAGGAGCTCCCCTCCCCAGGGTAATCTCTTCTGACCTCTATCACCATAGACTGATTTTGGCTATTCTTGAACTGCATAGAAATAGAATCATACAAAAGTTACTCTTTTGTGTCTGGCTTCTTTCACCCACCTATCTGTGCGATTTATGTTGTGTGTAGCAGTCTTTTTTTTTTTTTAATTGATGTTTAGTACTCCATTCTTTAATTATAGTACAATTTGTTTGCCCATTCTACTATTGATGGACATTTGGGTTGTTTATATATTTTTATTTTTTTGCAGTACGCGGGCCTCCCACTGTTGTGGCCTCTCCCGTTGCGGAGCACAGGCTCCGGACGCGCAGGCCCAGCGGCCATGGCTCACGGGCCCAGCCGCTCTGCGGCACATGGGATCTTCCCAGACCGGGGCATGAACCCGTGTCCCCCGCATCGGCAGGCGGACTCCCAACCACTGCGCCACCAGGGAAGCCCGGTTGTTTATATTTTTGAGCTATAATAAATAAAGCTGTTTTGGACACTTTAGTACATGCCTATTGATGAACATAAACATTCATTTCTGTTGGGTATATTCCCAGAAATGGAACTGATTGGTCTATTTTTAAAATTTAGGGATCTATTCATGCCTGTGCTGTCATCTACCAAGCAAAAACCAGTAAAAAAAAATTCTTAGTCTTTAGGTAAAAATCCTGGTATTTCTGCTTTTCATAATCAGACAAACAAGAGGCTGTAATAAGAAACTGGAAAGCATCAAAGAGACATCTCCTCCCTTTTCTCTCATGTTGTTTTCAAATACAACAAAATCCATTGAGGATTTCATGCTTGGTGTCTTCATTTATTAGCAGTGTCCATTGAGGGTGATCTCTCATCTTCACTACAGCCCTACAACTTGGGGCAACTCCAGTTTGCATGGGCCCTTTCCCAAAAAAACAGCTCAAGTTCAGACCCAGATTGAACTCAGGTGAGGGGGCACGGCTAAGCCCACCTAAAGGGCAGGGTGGTCTGTTCTATATAATTGCCTTGACCCTGGTGTAGAATGCAAAAGTTCCTGTCTTCGCCAGAAAAACTGTGAGTTCTAGAAAAAGTGAACCCAGAAGGATTCGATTTGGGAGGGGTAGTGGTGGAAACAGAAAACCTCTGAAGACAGATCGGTGAAACAAATTGGTTTGGGTCCTTCTGCCTTGCACTGCACGATAGGCCCCAACAGAGAGGCCTCAGGCAATTCCTCCAGTGGTTGGGGCCCCCTCTCCCATCTCCTTTTCCTTCTAAGAAAATGTAAAGCCTGGAGGAAGCAGATAGGGGAAATGGAAATCCAGACCCCCTTGTACAGCCAGGTCCAGAAGCTCCATTTCCACTTTAGGTCTGAAAGTTTAGCGTCTTCAGTTCTCAAGTCTCCTTCTTTGGAGCACGTGTCCCACTCCCTCTCCCTCCCACCCCTCTCCGAATCCGGAGCTTTCTGGGCAGAAACTTGAGCCCCTGGGGAAGAGAAGTCCCAGGCACTTCCCCGGGCCCGGGAGCAGCTTATTACTGCGTATCCAGGATGGAAGGGGCACCTGGAGTGAACTGGGATGCTAGTACCTAGAACTCAAAGCAAGGGTCTTCCAGAAATACCCCTTAATCCCCATTTTCCAGCCTCCTCTGACTCAGGCACATTCCCGGGTTCCCCTTTCAGGCCCAGAGCGGCCTCCCGGCCCCACCCCCGACTCCCCTTCCCCCCACGAGATGGACACTTTATAGGGAGAGCTTTTTATTCTCTCGTTAAACCGGCCAAAGCCCAGGAGACAGAGAGCCGGGGAGTGAGAGGAGGCGACCGAGGTGGGGCGGGCTCCGCGGCCCCTCTCCCGCCTTCCGCTACTCCCCACCCCCACCCCCGACGTAGCTGGGTTGCTCCAAACTGGAAAGCAGCGAAAGGACACCTCCTCTCTTTTCTCTCCTTTTCAAATGCAATAAAAAACCGAGAGAGGGAGGGAGGGAGAGAAGGAGAAAGGGGGGGGCGGGAAGAAGAGAGAGAGAGGGAGAGAGAGAGAGGGAGAGAGAGAGAGGGAGAGAGAGAGAGGGAGAGAGAGAGAGAGAGAGAGAGAAAGAGAAAGCGGGGGTAAAGTATTTTCGCAATTTCTGCCATGAAGATTTTATTAGCTTCTCTCCGCCAGGCCGCAGCCAATCAGCGCGCGTGCCCGGGCACCTGCGTCTCCTGCGTCAAGACGGCCGGGCTGAGCGAATGCAGGCGCCGAGCGAGCTGGGAGCGATTTAAAACGCTTTGGATTCCCGGGGCCTGGGTGGGGAGAGCGAGCTGGGTGCCCCCTGTATCCCCCACCCCCAGCACCCCATGAGCCGACCCTCGGCCCCATGGAGCCCGGCAATTATGCCACCTTGGACGGGGCCAAGGAAATCGAAGGCTTGCTGGGAGCCGGAGGGAGTCGGAATCTGGTCGCCCACTCCCCACTGACCAGCCACCCAGCGGCGGCGCCTACGCTTATGCCCGCTGTCAACTACGCCCCCCTGGATCTGCCAGGCTCTGCGGAACCACCAAAGCAGTGCCACCCATGCCCCGGGGTGCCCCAGGGGGCGTCCCCAGCTCCGGTGCCCTACGGCTACTTTGGAGGCGGGTACTACTCCTGCCGAGTGTCCCGGAGCTCGCTGAAACCCTGTGCCCAGGCGGCCACCCTGGCTGCCTACCCTGCGGAGACTCCTGCGGCCGGGGAGGAGTACCCCAGCCGCCCCACCGAGTTTGCCTTCTACCCGGGGTACCCGGGACCCTACCAGCCTATGGCCAGTTACCTGGATGTGTCGGTGGTGCAGACCTTGGGTGCCCCTGGGGAGCCTCGCCATGACTCCCTGCTGCCTGTGGACAGTTACCAGCCCTGGGCCCTCACCGGTGGCTGGAACAGCCAGATGTGTTGCCAGGGAGAACAAAACCCACCGGGTCCCTTCTGGAAGGCGGCATTTGCAGGTAAACTGCCCACTACTCTGGATCCCCTTGGCGCTGAGTGTGGGGTTGTAGGCCCTGCTGGCACTTGCCTGGGAGGAGGTGGAGGGAGACTTGGAGCTGGTGAGGAGGAGCTTGGTTCTCCTTGGTTGGCTATTAGGACTCTGAAGGAGGGTCCAGGCAGTTAGAGAGCCTGGGTAGAGGCCCCAGAGGGTCTGTGTGAGGGCCTGAGCTGCGGGCTATCTGAAGCCTGAGGACCACCAAGCCCCCGACCTCCCCAGGAGGCCTTGGGACCAGCCTTTCAATATGTTGGTGTGTTTGGCTCTCTTTGCTGTTGTTTGGGGCTCAGGGTATCCCTGCCCAGCAGGATCCCAGTTTAATTCTTCAAAAGGGCCAAATAACTCTAAATTCATTGAGTATGGGGTACAGTGGGGTGAGTGGGAACAGAGAAATTGGATGTTCTGTAAAGAATACAACCCCTCACTTTCTCTCAGATGAGTTTTTCAGTTTCCAAAGGAAGGTTAGATTTCCTGCAGCCATGGCTTAGGTGTGTGCATTAATGCATGTATGTGTTGGGAGTGGGGGCAGAAACGTGTTCCCCCTGTACAGAACTTGCTGGTAGTATCTATAAGAATGGCCAAGAGTTGGAAAATGCATGTGAGGGTGGACATATGTAGACGGTGGGCAAAGGTCTGGCCGTGTGTGATGGGTGTGTTTGCAGACTTGCAGGTGTAAGGGCAGTGAAGAGTGAGGGTGGCCTGCAGAAACCGCTTTCCAAGGCTGGGCGGTGATCAGAGCTGGAAGCCGAGGTGTCCTCTTGTGCTTTGGGGGAACAGGAGTGCACGAATGCCTGTAGGGTTACCTGAGTGCCCCTGCAGGATGACTTAGCTTGTGGGGCCTGGGTCTGCGCCTGAGCTTGCGCCAGGCGGTGGTGTGAGCATGTCTTTCTCTCCCTCCCTCTCCTGCTGCGCAGACTCGAGCGCGCAGCACCCTCCAGACGGCTGCGCCTTCCGCCGCGGCCGCAAGAAACGCATTCCCTACAGCAAGGGGCAGCTGCGGGAGCTGGAGCGCGAGTATTCGGCTAACAAGTTCATCACAAAAGACAAGAGGCGCAAGATCTCGGCGGCCACCAGCCTCTCAGAGCGCCAGATCACCATCTGGTTTCAGAATCGCCGGGTCAAGGAGAAGAAAGTCCTCGCCAAGGTCAAAACCAGCGGTATTCCTTGAGGGAGCTCCCTGGCTGTGCCTGGGGAGGGGGGAGGAGGAAGTCGGAGTATCCTGGGGAGACCAGGAGCCTGCCACAGCCAGGCTGGGGCCCAGGACTCTGCTGAGAGGCCCCCAGAGGTGACACTCTTCCCAGACCAATGCTCCTGGGCTGTTCCTCAGGGACAGCTTGGGTACCCCATTGGTCCCAGAGAGCCAGCGAGGCCCAGAGTTACAGCCCAGTCCACCAGGTAACATCACCCAAAGGACCTTGTCCCAGTCATAATCATTCATCCTGGCAATGGCAATAATCACCATAACCAGTAATAGTTGCCATGATAATTAGTATCATACTTTCTATCTAGAGCTCTGTAGAGCACTTTAGAAACTGCTTTCATGGATTGAGCTGATTACGAATAAACTTGGAAGGAGACCGGTGGCAGGAGAGCTTCCTCTGGAACCCCTTCCATTTCCAAAGCCCATCCCCATCCCAGTGAAGGCAGAGGAGACAAGAAATTGCAGATTCACCCCTGTGACTATGTTGCCCCTTTAGCATTTTTCTAACATGACAGCTAGGCAGGATGGACAACACTGGAGGGTGCATCTCCCTCCCTCCGTGCCCATCCCCTAGGTTGTACCCACTGGTCTCAGAAGTCTGCATCCCCACCTCTTCAGTTTTGTCCGTGTGTGAAAAACAAGCCAGCGAGCTGCCCTCCGGGGTCTGTTCTCCTTTCTTTCAGAGAAATGGGGTTTGAGAAAGTGCCTGGATAATTCACCACTTCCTCTCCAAAACTTTCCAAACCCTCCCTTAATGTTCCTGGTGGTTCTGACTTAAGGAGGTCATGGTTCATTGGGCATTTGGGAGCCGCATGAAATAGATATTTGTGGCCTTGTAGACGGAGGTCCTCCCAGGCACAAACGGTTACAGAATGAGGGAATAGTAGCCTATCCATGGTAGGCACGTCCCAAACACACTGGTATAGCCCAGAAGGAGAAAAACAAAAAAACAGAAAGCAGAAAATGGCTCCTTCACTACCCATTCCTCCTCTGCTTGCCTGCCGGTGACACCGCGGAGTTTGCAGGGCTCAGGCCTGGGAGTCGCGGAAGGCTCTTTTTCGAGTGAAAGAACCACGGGCGGCGGAAGCCCAAAGACCCAGTCTCAGAGTGGGGAACAGCAGGCAGCCGGGACAACAATGGGCACAGACTCGTTTCCTTTTCACTTTGCGCTGGTTCAGTCCACATACCCTGAATTCTGGGTGGGTGGAGGGCAGGTTGGCGCCAACTCTGTTTTCCGCAGCCACGTAGACAGTATGGGAACAGTGCGGAGTTCCAAAAACCTGGGGCAGACCAGCTGTTAGCAGAGCCGGGGACTCTGATGTCCTGTACCTGGGCCCTGTGCCCGGTGGGACTCGCTACCTTGGCCGCGCAGCAAATCAGCGGGTTTGAGCTGGATCTTCCTGCAGCCCAGGCTGGAGGATTCCGGCAGACACTCTCCCGGCGATCGAGCGCACAGGCGTGAAGTGGAGAGGACCCAACGCCGGACCCACGATCCGAGCCACCGAGCAGCGAGTAGGCGGGAGGCGAGCAGCCCGAGGGAGGCCCCCGGCCGTGGTCTCGATGGCCGCTCCATCTCGGAGCAGGCTCCTCCTTCTCCAGGAAACCCTGCGTTGGCCGCCGCAGCCGAAGAATTCGAGTCGGGTGGGATCCCTGTCCTGGCTTTTCTTCCGGGAGAGAGTTGGGAAGACTGTTCTAAATCTTTTTACCAAAGAGGATCCGGAGGCTGAGGGGAAAGCCCCCGACGGGCAGTCACCCTCCCTCCCTAGGTTTTCTTAGAATGCTTGTGCTTGGGGAAGGGGAGGGTGTCAATTTCGTGATTTAAACAATTCTTCCAAGCCCCGTGGTCCAGTTTAAGCTCCCTGGTATCGCGTCCCGCCCAGGGGAGGTTACTTTCTGCCTTCCACGTTCTCCTTAAAGCTTAGTCTCAAGCGAGGAGCTTTTACTATCACAGGTTCTCAAGCTTAGTGGGTGCGACCCCCTCCCTCGCCGCTTCAGAAAGAGCGAGACTTCAGATAGGCCCATGGGTAGAGAGAGCGCCCTGGTGCCGGCTCCCGACATGGGGAGGAGAAAGGCCGCAAGAAGTGTTGCCACTTGGACTTCCTGAGATGGCGTAGGTAGAGGCCTAAGGAGTCAGGGGCCTCGAGACTCTGGACTCCCAGAGCGCTAACTCCTCCGCTCCGCTATCAAGCCCTTAAAGTTTCGGAGCTCTTCTATTATTCTCTCTCAATAATTTTAGAACAAACAAAAGATTTGGGATTTTAGAGATTTATTTCGCTACCAGTGTGTTTGACCTATTAAAAAGACAAGGGCGCCCCCTTCCGGTAGAAGCTCGCCATTTCAGGGAAACCCGCCGGTCTGCTCGGCTTTAACCCCTCAACAGAGCCTCTGGCTTCCAGATGCCTGGGGCGTCGGGCCTTCGGGGTTGGGGTGTTCGGGGCTGCGTGTGAGAGCGCCGGGACCCGGAGTCGCCTGGAATTGGGCCAGGGTATAGGCAAATGTATCGGTCCAGCGGCTGAGAGACTGAGGAGGAAGGCTAGGAGAGCAGCGAGCGATCTCGAATAGTGAAAAAACAGGGCGGCCAGGACTCCCGGCGGCGCCATCAGCCCTCGGTCCAGGTCTTCGTTCCAGTGGAGTATTATATTTATCTTCCTCGCCAGGCCAATTCACGGCGAACCCCTTCCTCCCCTTTTATCCCCCCCGATTCATTTACTTGTATGGAACCTGTGCAAAAAAAAATTTTTTTTTAATTTCGCTTTGTATTAAACCCTTTTATGGAAGCTCTTCCCAAACACCAATTTTACTCCCGAGGCAAATTATACCCCCTCCCACCGAGGCCGACCATTTAAAAATCTTTCAGTAATTTGTGTCAAAATTACAACAAAATATATCTACATGTATTTGCCTGTAGCCATTTGCTTTTTAAATAGGGCCATTTTAAGCTACAGGAGAGAGGGTTTTGCTAAATTTAAGACTGAAATGTGTTGACTATAACGTTCACAAATAGGTAAATTCAAACAACATTCTCATGAACAAATAAACGCAGAGGCGCACAAATAGACTCCGGAAAATACACCGGGCGTCTTTTCACCAGCGAGGTGTAATTTTACTCGGAGCTGCCCTCCGCGCCCTCTCCCTTACTCGGAGCAGAACATCCCCGGTTGAGTCTCAGCAAACGTCGAAACAGGATCCGAGGGTCGCGTCTACGCTGCTCCAGGACCGAAATCACTTACTTCCAACTCCAAACCAGGTGGATTTTATTAGGCCGACTTAGGGGGTAGTGGTGGAGAAGTGCATAGACGTGACCTCCGGAAGCTCTTTTCGAATCTAGGTTCTCGAAGCAGCCCAGCGGAGAGCGAACCCGAGGCTCTGGCTCCGGGGTCCTTCACTCGTGCTGGCAAACGCTTCCCGCCACCCTGGAAGTCGCGAGGCCGAAGCCGGCGACTCTGCACAGCCGTGCCCCCCTCCGCAGTCACCCCCTAGCTAGCCACTCCTACTCTGAGTGGTTCGAGGACCAGAAGATGTCCTGCGGCAGGAAAGAGGCCCAGATCAAGACCCGCCAGTTCTACGAGGCGCGGCTGCCCTCCTCCAACACGGGGCCAACTGCCCTCCCCTCCTCCAGTCCCCCTCCTCCCCTTAATTAAAGTTTTATTCAAGGTCCTAAGTGCTGCACTTTAATTAGGTTTCCTTCGGGGGAAACCCTCTGTGCCCCCGCCCCCGTCTGGTCTAATAGAAACCCCAGAGCTTCAAACGTGAATTAAATAAATGAACCCGTTACCGTAAACTGGCAATAAAGCGCGGAGGCAACTGCTGCGGAGGGGGCGAAAGGAGAGGTTCCGTTGTTTTTGAAAGAAATTTATACCACATTCTCACCCACCTGAATAGTCCCTCTCCGGGAAAGTGCGGAGAAAGCACTGGATCGGCCCTCGGCCTCTCACCCGAGTGGGACACCCCGCCCCTCCCCCCAGGCGCTGGCCTGGGCTCGGGGAGAGATTTTAAAACATCCAATGGGGAACTGATGCCAGCCTTTCTTCCTCTCTAGGCTACCAGTTACTTTTGTGTAGAAAGCGGGTGGGGGTGGTCGGAGCAGACAGAGAAGAGGGAGTTCCACCACTGGTCCCCCTCCCCTAAATTGCCTCTGAAATGACGGGGAACAGCAAGAGTTCAATCACCCTCGGAAAGTTAGGGAGGGAAAGGCAGTCTGCCAGTGCCCAGAGGTGAGGGTCGGGTCGGGGCCTTTGCCATCGAACTTGAAGTTTCAGGCCTTTGGTCTCCGCTGCCCCTACCCCCACTCTCCTCAACTCTTTATACGAAGAGGGAGGGAGGTGAGGGAAGGGGTCCCATCTCTGGCCTCGGGAAGGCAGGAGGAGGCCAAGCGGCGTTGGAGGGGCCAGAGCGACCGGAAGACCGTCCAGAGACGCCGAGGTTGGCGGGGAGACGAGGCGGCCCCGGGCTGCGGTGGGGAGGGGTACTCCAGCCTTCTCTGGGCTCGCAGACGCGAGGTGGGGACCCTGGGAATGTGCGCCGTCTTCCTGAGCCTCGCCCCAGGCTCGGCTGGGAGGGGGGCACCCGGTGCTGCGCTCCGGTCCTTCCTCCTCTAGCCTAAGGTGCTCGAGCAGAGCCCTGCGCCACTCGGAGGCTGGAACCTTCAGGCCGGCGCCGCCCCAGCTCAGGGCCTTGGGGCCCAGCTGAATTCCAGCCCTGGCCTTTGCAGAGGGAGCAAGAGTGTTATGCCCCTATTTCTCAGATCAAGACCTGTTCATTTTGCTACCTCCAAGAGTGCGTTTCTCTCTAAAAAGATAAACTAGCTGATTCGTGGGCCAAGGGCGTTACCGCTCTCTCAGTCTGAGGACCCGCTCAGGGAGCCCTGGGGTGGGGGTTCCTCCCAGGAATTTGGGGGACTCCGCGGTCACGGCGGGCAGGGAAGGGCGGGCGTCAGGATCTTGCAGAGACCACTCGGCGGAGCGCCTCCTTGTTGGTTCCTGGAGAGACCGGCAGACACCTGGGCAGAAAGGGACAAAGAAAGCGCTTCGCAGCACGCGGGACCTGCGCGCCCTCGGCAGGGGAGAGTCTGGCGGGTGAGAGCAAGGCCCCCCAGTACGACCTTGTATTTGTCTCCGACTGGATGGAGTCCTGGTACAGACAAAATTAACGTTATTGTTATGTTGTTCTTATTTAAACTGCAGTACTTTACAAAACATCTACTTTGAAAGCTGGGTGAAAATTAACCGTAATGATAACGGTAATGATGATTTATTAACACACTCTTAAGGGAAAGGCTCTGGCCCTTTAAAAAATAAATCAGTGCAGCTTAGTCTCAGACGGCTGCCTTCCTTCTGCCATTCCTATGCCCTCTTTGGAAGCTTGGTTAGTGCTGAGATCTGAGGAGCAACTGGAGGTGTTGCCCATGGCTGGCACATCTGCACAGAGACTCAGAACTGCACAGAAGCAGCAGGGGCCCACATGCCCATGTCCTCAGCCACTGATACTGCTAACTTGCTGTTCTTGGGGTGGGGGCAAGGTAATCTACAGACACACTCTGGACTCACCTAACCCTCCCCACCCCAGCTGGTTCCTGCCCATGCCTTCTCAGAGCTACTGTCCCCACACTGACAGAACCCACTTTATAAGATGAGGACGCTGAGACTAAGTGTAAGTTACTTGATCAGTGTCGCAGACAGCAGTGGCTAAGCTGGACCCCCAAAGAAGGAGCTCCTGAGGACTAAGCTCTGTGTTCTACACCAGCGCAAGAGAATAGGAAGGGGACTTCCCTGGTGGCGCAGTGTTTAAGAATCCACCTGCCAATGCAGGGGACACGGGTTCGAGCCCTGGTCCGGGAAGATCCCACAAGCCACGGAGCAACTAAGCCCCCGTGTGCCACAACTACTGAGCCTGTGCTCCAGAGCCCGCGAGCCTCAGCTACTGAGCCTGTGTTCTCAGCAAGAGAAGCCAACGCAGTGAGAAGCCCGCGCACTGCAAGGAAGACCCAACACAGCCAAAAATAAATAAATAAATAAAATTTTTTAAAAAGAGAGAGAGAGAATAGGAAGCCAAGCCTCTCCTTCACTCCCAACATACCTCTCCTCACCTGTTTCCATCTGGAGCCATCCCTTGAGGTCACAGAGCTACACTCAGACTCCCTAGACCCAGCCCTTCCTGGGTGCACCCGGCAGATTTGCATAAGTGCAACAACAGGGAATAAACACAAGTTCCATCACTCAGTTTTCGAGTGCCTACTGCATGCAAAGCCTTCCACTGAGGTGGAAGGCTGGAGGAGATACAGTGGAAATACTCTCTTCCTACTGATCCCTGCCTCGCGTTCTGCCTCTCACTTGCTGCTAGATCTTAGGTCTGCTGTTTCCTCAGATGGGACCTGAAACCGGGGGACTATATTCTGTGATCTCTGACATTGTAAGGTGGGCCAAATGCCTACACATGGGGAACTGAGACCGAGAAAGATTCACCCCTCCCCCCACGGCATATGGAGAGGCTTTCCGGAAAAGGCTGTGCTGGAGAAGGACCTCGAAAGATGCTTAAATACCAAATCTGGGTGGAAGATGTGAGCAAAACTCGGGAGAGGGGACAAAAGAGGCAGGTCTCTGAGGGAGGGAGGTCTGGACCTCCGCTCTGGTTGGGGCAGAGCTGGTAGGGAAGAGGGCAAGGGCGTTCTCACTGGGTCCTGAACGCTGGGCGAAGCCTGTGCTGTGATCAGACAGCCTCCTGCCCATTCAGGCTGTGACCGCCCCACTCCCACCCAGGCGCGCACGCACCGAATGTTGGTGCAGGCGCTACTGGCGGCACACCGCAGGCCCCAGGAGCATATAAGGAGACAGCTCTCGGAGAGAGGAATCGGTACTCCCCTGGACTCTCAGCTTCCCATCTTAGGTGTGTCCAGTCTGTCGCCCCCGTCTGAGACCTGAGCTCGGTCTTCGGCTGACGGTTGAAGTTCGCCGCCCTTCCCCCTCCAGGCAGGGTTTTGTCGTTGAACTTGAGCCAGGCCATAAACATTCCTTCACCCCTCGGGGAGCTGGACCGGGACGGGGAGGGGGTGGAGGGAAAGGTGGCGGAAGAGGGTTGTGGAAGGATCCGGAACGCCAGAGACCGGGCATCTCCCACCCAAGCCTGTATTGCTTTATCAACGAGCTTCGGATCTTTGCATTCTGCGGAAAATTCGCCAGATCTGCATTTTTAAAATCCGATTATTGAGGCCTTATTGCAAGTTAGACCAATAATTTAGTCAGGATCAACGTAATGTAACTTTCATTTTCACTCATTCGTAATTCATGTTTTCTTATCTTATTTTAGGTAGTAATATCCCCTATTTTTTTTAATGAGCAGGAAAAGCAAATGCATAAAGACCAAACGAATAATAGCTACAGCAGAGGAATTATTAGAGAAGATTGGAGTAGGTCATCCCTAGGCCATTGCCTCTGCATTTTAAAAGCGCCCCTCTCTGGACGGAACAATCCCAGCCTGCGGCCGACGAGCCCCGCGGAGCCCTCGTTTTCCCCAGGATCCGGAAGCTTAGACTTGGTAAATGCCCCCCCCCCGCCCCCATCCTTGGCCTGGGGAACCGCCCGCGGGACCCGGGAGCCTGGCGCGTGCTTCCCAGTGACCTGCCGCCGGCGGAGGCTGCTCAGAGCGGCCTGCTGAGACCTTGTTAGAGTTTTTCCTCCCTCCCTCCCTTCCTTCTTTCCTTCCTTCCTTCCTTCTTTCCTACCTTCCTTCCTTCCTCCAGGATCCGGGAGCAAGGGAGGATCAAAGACTCTATCCCGGGGTCTTTTCCTGGCTCAATAAAACCCCGTGTAAGGGTAACTGGGCGCGCTGCGCGGGAGGCGCGGGGCTCTTCTGTATCTCGTGCGGGGCAGCTCCGCGCTCAGGGCTTCCTTCCCCCCGAGGAGCCCAGGCGGCTCGGCGAGCGGCCGAGAAGGCACCAAACCCTGGCGAACTTACGACAGGCTCCCGGCCTCCTAAACGCCCGGAGGCAGGTCCTCACTAGCAAACCGGAAAAGGGGCTTGACGGAGCGGTCAGGATACTACTCTGCTCACTCAACCCGCCCCCTCGTCCCCATCTGGCTTTAACCTGCCCGAGGACTTGGACCGAAGAGGTTTTTTTGTCTCATTCTTCTCCCCAGCCTTCGATTCCCCAAGCCCTCGGGGCCCCGGAAAAAACTCAGTCAACCCCTCTCCCTTTGTCTGACCTTTGGGGAAAAGAGGCGTGGGCGCCTGGGTCAAGTTCACGCACCCGGCCAGCATCTTTTAGGGCAAGTGGGGCCACCTTTGTCATTTGGACCAGAAGGGTCCTAAGCAATCGGGATTGGGGGGATGGGCGGGGGGGCAAAGCTTCCAGAAAGGCTTTTTGATTTTAG